AGACGGCGTACCTCTGGTGACCACTTGGTGTCGAAGAAGGCAACGGCTGTGACGGGCGCGTTACGGTGAGTCGCGATCGGGGTGGGCGTCGATCAGAAACAAACAATAAGCTCACCGACGATGATGAACTCGACAGGCATCCAGAAGCGCAGGAAGTGGAAGATGAACTTGAGGGCGGGCCAGCCGGGCATCTTGAATAGGCGCCATGTGCGCGGGGAGAGGACGAGGGTGTCCCAGGCGGCGACGGTGAGGGTGCAGACGAGGAAGTACTTGTGCGCGGAGAGGTGCGGGGGCAGGTTGAGCTCGTTGGGCAGCGTGAGGGTGGGGGCGGCCATCGTTGGGGCCATATCCTATGGGAGCCCTGGTTATATACCGCTATAGCAGCCGCACATCAATGCCATCATGTTCCCATCACCCACCCTTTCCTCCGCCCATCATGGCCTCCTCCTCCTCCACTGCCCCCGTCTCCCCCGTCCCCACCGCACCGTCTCCGCCCCAGTCCCACGGCTCCCCGTCCAGCAATCTCTACCTGTGCGTCCCCTGCCCCATCCGTTTGTCGCACTGACCCCGCCCAGCGTCACGTTCCTCGCCACCCTCTTCCTCCTCCTCTTCGTCTCCTGCGCCATCGTCCTGCGCTCCTATGTCCTGCGCCAACGCTACAACCGCCGCATCAACGAGGCCATGGCCGCAGGCCTCTTCCTCGCACCACGCGCACAGGGCTCCAGGCGCAAGCGCTTCGGTGTTCGCCCCAGGCTCATCGACACATGGATCGCTACAGGGGGTCCAAAGTGGGATCGTATCACAGTGCGTGCACCCCATCTCCCATCCTTCATCTATCCATCCAAAACTTTACCCTACCACGCCTCGTTCCATTTCTATTTATGTTTTCTTTCGCGCCATGCCAACTAAACACACCCCCTCCTGCAGCCGCTCTCCGCCCAGCCTATCATGGTCAAGCGCCGCCTGCGCGACGGCCACGTCCCCCGCCTCCCTCTGCCACCCGGCGCCTCCTTTGATCCCTCCTCTCCCGACCCAGCTGCCCTCTTCGATAGCGCCGCACTCGCGCCACAGGTTAACGGCAGCGCCCCTACGACACCGACGCCCCTGAGGGCCCGCATGGCCGGCCTATTCACGCGCAGGCACCACCGCATACCTTCGGGCGACGACGATGAGCAAGAAGGCGACGGTATCCCACTCGTCGCCGCCCCACCCCCGCCTGCTGCGACTGCTGACGCATCCTCCCCGCCTGCTGGACCAGGCGCAGGCGGCATCAGCGCACCAGCCACCCCTGCAGGGTACAAAATTCGCGTGGAGATGCTGCAAGTGGCCGTGCTCATAGCCATGCCCTCGCAGAATCGCTTCCAGCGCAAGAATGCGCGCCTGGATCGACACGGACACGGTATCGAGGAAGAGGTCTTGTCTTCCTCCGACGAGGGTGATGATGATGACGATGAGACGCCGCCGTTGCCTGAGCTCGTGATGGGCGTTACGCGCGTTAGGTATCCCGCGGCGGCCGCCAAGGGCTCGTCGAAGAGTCAAATACGCCGGTAGGGACGCGGAGGCGTTGGCGCAGAAGGACGTCGGGGACGACGACGACGAGTTGGAGGACGAAGCCATTGTTTTGGGCGTCGAGGATTCTGAGCCGATAACGGGGGCGCGTGCCCCTGCGCTTGTCTGATTTTGGGTGCTGTCGTAATTGTATCGTGTCCTGCACGCACCACATCACTTTTGCGTTTTCATTTTTGACGAATGAACAAACGACGCACATCGTGTCTATCCGCCCCCCGTGCCCGCTGGGCGGCTGCGTCGACGACGGGGGCGCTATCTTTTCGCACCATGGCACACCATCCATGTCATGTCATATCATATTGACCATCAACGCTCTACCCCATCCGTCTATGCTCTAATCAACCCCGCGACGCTCTATCCACCCCATCAATGCTCTGCCTGCTCCTTCCTCGCACATCTGTCTACTTTGCCTTGCCTGTCGGACGGACCCTGCACCGAACAGTATGGAACTGCCGACCCTTCCCAGCTCAAAACTGAAAACGACGCGCCGCTCACTTCCTTTTGCCCACTGCATCTGCGCATCCGCTATCAAGTATACGCCATTCATCACCCACTGCCTGCTGCTCACTGCCGTACCAGATCACATCGCCTCGCCCCCCATATACCAAAATAGCTGATACACCACAGCTAAGAATATCTGATACCCGCGTTCCTCAAGTATCTTGTAAAATAAGAGGGACGCCTCGCACCCACCCAATGGCACCCACGCCTACCCACGCACATCTTGCATCGCATTCTTCCCCACCCACCGTCCGCGCAACATGTTACACGCTGCATGTCTGTACGAAACCGCATAACTGCCGTTGCCGTTCGTGGTGGCGGTACGACACATAGACTTATACTTTGGTGGGCTCGCTATCTGCATCTGTCCATCAGAGCTTGGGACGGATACATAGTGTATGCTTTGCATCATGATCACCGCCCGCACACCCTTCCATCTCCATCGGCGTCACCTTTGGCCTTGCTTTAATCTATCCATCTACCCATCTGTCGATCCGCGGCGCTTCTCTGATCTTCCACTTAATCCCCAAAAGGAAGCGTTGGAAGATCAGGACCCAGGCAGACCCAGCTGTGCTTGGGTTTTGTTGGGAACTGGTGTGCTGCGATGCGATGCGCTTCCCCCCCACGGAAAGGGTGGGTGGCCCCATCTGCATGGCCGCATTTGCAACCTCGATTGTGGAAAACGGTTCTTCTCGTGCCCTGTCTTGCTCCCGTCCTTGCTTGTACTTTTTTTTTTTTCAGTTTGCGGAACATGTATTGCGTGTATACATGATTGTAGATGTACCTTCAAGACAATTGTGGACGTCGTTTTTTTTTGGGAGTCGGAGTGGGAGAATCGGATGGACCACCATGCATATGTTGTATGTACCTCAGGGACTTTCGAAATCTTGGATTTCTTGAATGGAGATGTGATGGAAACCATAGCTATATATCATTGCATTCATGCATGTAGTTTGGGTGCTAGTCGCTAATAATGAATACTTAGTTGGATCAGCTGATGGTGTACTTGCATTTGTGTCTCCAGCAGTAGCATGTCCTCCAAGACAGTGTGGTGAGCAAGTGAGCCACTCCAATGAGATTCAGTTTCGATTTCCTTGGGCCATTCATCAGCTGGTCTTAGGTGTTCATGCGAACCTGGCAATCTTGGGAACCGACGCGTTTTGGCTGGTTCCAATGCGCGTCGACGCATATCCTCATGCGCGTCGCGCACGTGTCGTCTTGGCGGACCGGCCTAGCATTGAACGCTAATTGTTAACCGCCTTGCCTTATCGCAGGTTGCTCACTTCAAGTTCCCTCCTCCAATGCCACCAATGACTTCTGCAGGCGCCTCAAACACCCTTCCCATCATCGACATCGCGCCCTTTCTCAACGCAGATCCAGCCGATGCGGATAAGCGCGCGGCGGCGGCGGCGGCTCTGCACGCCGCCTGCATCGAATTCGGCTTCTTCTACCTGAACATCGACGCGTACGTCGACCGATCGGAGCCAGAGGAGCTCGCGCGGCTCGGGAAGCGTTCTTCGCGCTCCCCCAGAGCGAGAAGGATAAGCTGTCGCTGAAGAACCAGGATTTCGCGCGAGGTGTGTCTCCATCGCAGGCCGGAAGTGTGCGCAGATGATTAAGGGCAGGATGCATAGGGTATGCCAGATTAAACGAGAACGTGACGAATGGGAAGGCCGATGCACACGAGGGACTGGATTTCTATAAGCCCGTGGATAATCCTGATAAGACGAAGCCTGTGTGGGGCGAAAATCAGTGGCCGAGCGTTGCGGGCTTCAGAGATAAATACGAGGTATGGGTAGAGAAGATGAAGGCGCTGGGTCTCATACTGATGGAAGCGTGAGTGACTCGTTCTGTACCCCGTGGTCGGCAAGTTGAACTCTTGTTCATCATACAGAATGTCGATAGGTTTGGGCATGACCCGGGAAGAATGGTTGGAACTCCGTAGCCAGGTGGACGACAGCTTCTGGGTAATGCGTGTTATAGGTTTGGCGGTATTCTCCAGCTACATTATTTAACTCTGATGTGTTGATCTATCTCAGGTTACCCTCCTCTTCCAAAGGGACATGACGGCATCTCTTGTGGTGCTCATAAGTAAGTAAACCAATTGATTGCGCCTGGAAGCACGGCCTTACGAACTTATGCAGAGATTATGGCTGTCTGACGTACGATATATGAGTTTCTGCTGGAATCTCTTAATTCTTACAAACATTCTTCAGATTCTTGTATGCGGATCCAACTCCCTCCGCTCTGCAGGTATTCCTACGCCGGCCTGGAGCGATTGAAGCAGACAAATCAGGGCTACCTTCGGAACAAGGAACAGAGGAGGGTGTATGGATCAATGCTGATCCTATTCCAGGCTGTGTTGTCTGCAACATTGGCGAAAGTAAGCCTTGATCTACGTTCCAAGTGTTTGTAACTCAGGTGCTGAGCGCTGAGCGCTTAATTAGTGTGGGAAATTTGGACTGATGGCCTATACCAGTCAACCCTCCATCGCGTGGTTCATCGAGGGTCTAATTATCGGTAAGACGACAACACCCATTGAATTCAAATCAGTGACTGAAGACGTACATGTGTTGAATACGGCAGTGTATCGTAAGTATCAGAACATATTATTTTGTGCAATACTAATTCATTTCGCCCACTCCAGCGTTCCATTTTTCTTTGAGCCAAATTTTGATGCTCTAGTAACACCTTTAGCGGCAATCGCTAGGGCGAAATCTAAGGAAGGGCAAGACCCAAATCCGACTCGAAAGCCAATTGTATATGGAGACTTCCTCGTGAACAAAGTTGGGAATAACTTCGCTGTTGAAGGCAAAGGTAGATATGATTCATAGATTCTATACTTACTACGTATATAGGCTGTCTTCGGGGACAAAATTGATTATTGGATAAATTTCAGACTCGTAGTGACTTCTCAAGAACAAAAAGCATCCTTCGAGCCGGGATCGAACCAGCGACCTTGAGATAGTCATTTCCCCATTACAGTCTCACGCTCTTCCAATTGAGCTATCGAAGGCTTGGATTGCCGTGGCGCCACCGGCATAGCAGTGGCATGCCTTAGTTTCTAGCCCCTTTTTGTGTTTTCCTTGCATTGCCTTGCATAGTAGGTTCATCTGTGATCTTGGGGAGATATTAAAGTCCTAGTTCGTGCTAAAGCGGGCAGTGTCCACCGGTATGCCACAAGATTGGAAGCATATCAATTCAGACTTGATGTAAGGAAATTTGAAATACTCAGCATATGGGATTTGATATACACCTTGGAACCGGTCAGAATTGGTGTTGATCGTTGAACGTTGAGACTTGAAGCATGAAGCTTGATCAAAAAAGAGAGAAGTTCAATGAACTAACCCCTAATTAAAGGATACCGCGGCCCGGGGTCTTTGCTAAAGATCACGTGGAATATTTTTCTTGAATCGCGAACGGAAGCGCTCACTGTCTTCAGTCCTGGGTCCTCAACAGTCTTTCCATCCTTCTAGTGGTCGATATCCACTGCATTATACCCCGTGTTCTGACCACAATTTACTAGCGACCATGTCCGACTATGTTATGACAATTGACTCCGACACAGAGGATGTACCAATCCCTTCCACCTCAAAACCTTCGAAGAAACAAGAACTGGCAGATGACACAAAGCTTGATCCAGACTTCGTATTCGACCTTGCTGGAGACCCATATATAGATCTCACGAACCAAAATCTTGGAGTAAACGATCTCGTCAAAACAGGCAGCAAGCCAGTATGTCGCAACTTCAAGAATCACCTAATTTGTCAGGTCAACTAAATCATATATAGGCACCTATAAATGTGGATGAGATTATCGCACGTCGAAGATTGAGTTCAAAACGTAAACGCGCAGTAGAAGAGAGCGAAAGTGAAGACGAAGACGACGAAGAGGAGGACGAGGACGATGAAGGTGAAGATGAAGGTGATGAGCTTGAATCAGATATGGGAGCACAAAGCCTATCAGACGACGAAGAGGATCCTTTGGCAACATCTGACGAGGAAGAAGACGAAGAAGCTGAAGACGACGTCGAAGAGGACTCTTCAGAGGAGAGTGGCTCTGAAGATGAAACCCAAGCAGAAAAGGATCGAAAGGCCGCGTTTTTCGACTCCGAGGCAGGACCAGCAGAATCCCATGACTCTTTCCTAACCATGAATCTATCACGACCTTTGTTAAAGGCACTGACGACTCTCGGCTTCTCTAAACCTACGCCTATTCAAGCCGCCACTATTCCTGTCGCTCTCTTGGGAAAGGATGTCGTTGGTAACGCCGTCACTGGTTCGGGAAAAACGGCCGCCTTCATGATCCCAATGCTCGAGCGTCTTCTGTATAGAGACAAAGGAAAGAGGTCCGCTGCAACGCGCTGTGTGGTTCTGGTGCCGACGAGAGAATTGGGTGTACAGTGTTATGAAGTTGGCGTCAAGCTGGCTACCCATACAGACATCCAGCTTGCCCTTCTTGTCGGTGCGTTTAAAAGTTAAGGTCATAACAATTCCCTTACTCAACATGTATGTATATTCAGGTGGTTTGTCCCTGAAGTCGCAAGAAGCCACCCTACGGACACGCCCTGACATTGTAATTGCGACGCCTGGTCGTTTGATTGATCACATCCGAAACTCCCCTTCGTTCAACCTAGATGCGGTTGATGTTTTGGTGCTCGACGAAGCTGATAGAATGTTGTCAGACGGTTTCGCGGACGAACTTGCAGAAATTATCAGGTCAACACCGACTTCCCGTCAGACCATGCTCTTCTCGGCAACCATGACAGACTCTGTGGATGAACTGGTTAAAATGTCGCTCAATAAACCTGTTCGACTCTTTGTGGATCCCAAAAAAACGACGGCGAGAGGCCTTATCCAAGAATTCGTCCGCGTAAAGGCAGGAAAGGAAAACGAGAGATCTGCCCTACTCACTGCTCTCTGTAAACGTACTTTCAAGACAAAAGTTATTGTCTTCCTAAGAAGCAAAAAGCTCGCGCATCAGATGCGTATTGTCTTTGGTCTGGCGGGAATGAAATGCGAGGAGCTGCACGGTGATTTGACTCAAGAACAAGTTAGCTTCTCTTTTCTCTCCAACCATGTTTTAATAATGTTGATCTATTCTTTCTAGCGTCTGAATGCTCTTCACGCTTTCCGAGAGGGCAAGGTGGATTATTTAATGGCTACTGATTTGGCTTCGCGTGGTTTGGATATCAAAGGCGTCGAGACGGTCATTAATTACGACATGCCCACGCAACTTGCTCAATATCTTCATCGTGTTGGTCGTACAGCTCGTGCGGGTCAGAAGGGACGGTAAGTACACTTTCTCAACAAACTCGAGTTGTCATTGACAACCGAATTCCAGTTCTGTAACATTGGTTGGCGAGGCCGATCGAAAAATGCTTAAGGCTGCCATTAAACACAGCACTGGCGAGGATCAAGTCCGCCACCGCATCGTTCCCGCAGAGATCATACAAACATGGGTGGAGAAGTTGGCAGCGCTCAAAGACGACATATCTGCTATCCTTGCCGAGGAGAAGGAAGAAAAACACGTAGGGCCATTTTCCTAATCCAGCTATCGCTCAAATGGCTTAAAACATCCCATAGATGCGCAAAGCGGAGATGGAACTGAAAAAAGGTCAAAATATGATTGAGCATGAGGCTGAAATTTACTCGAGACCTGCACGAACTTGGTTCCAAAACACAAAAGACAAGCAGAAAGCGGAAGGTTCGTTCAGGTTTAAAGGACCCTAGGTTAAACAAAACTGCTGACATTCCTCAAAACTACTAGAGCTGAGCAAAGAGCAGTATATAAATGGAGGAAAGTCGAAGCCAAAATCGGTTGCCGTAGACGACACCAAGGTAATTATTTTATTGATGTCCTGGAATTTTCAATAGTTAAATATTCTTTTGCAGCCCAAGCGAGATAAAATGTCTGGTTTATCACGCAAAGCCAAACGACGAAAGATGATGATGGAAGAAGACAAGGAATTCAATGACGGAAAGGCGATCAATGCTTCAATACGCTCCGTCAAGAAGGCTATTCGTCCGGGAAAGATTGGAGAACCTGAAAAGAAACAGACAGGCCCTGCAAAGAAGAAGCGTAAAACAACGGCCAAGAAGCCCCGCACGGGGAGCAGCGCATTTGACAGCGATTTCGGTTCAAAATCAAAATCACACGAAGGCATTCGAGCTAGAAAAGATGATGCCGTTAAAGGGAGCAAAAAGGGCGGTAAACCAGGGGGTAAAATGGGAGGAAAGCAGGCGGCAAATCGAAAGGCAAGCCTCGTAAAAAGTGATAACTGTCTATAAGTTGTCCGGTCGACCTTGCTTCATGTCTTTTACTTGATAACATACTTGGCTGGAATGCACTATATTTATACGCATCCCGACTCTGTACATCCTAGAAGCTCCATCCATACATCTGCGACGCCGTCCTCTTCGCATCCGACCTGCATGCCATTATCCTTCAGGATGTAATATTCTCTTCCAGGGGTTTGCACCGTTGCCAATCCAGGATGAAGAATTTTGCCATTGCTTAGAGTGAAGTGGACGCTTTCGACATGATGGTGTCTAAAAAACATGTCAGTGGCATTAAACACATTTAAGGGTCTTAAAATACTACGCAGGCAAAAATATGTTGATTCTGTCCGATTTCGTGACTATGGTATCGCGTGTCTTGGGAAGGCCGTTGAACTCTTGTTGCATCTGATTCGATGTCAATCGAGGGCCACTGACGCTGCAATTGAGGGATTAGCATGACATTTCCAATATCAAGAAAAATGTAGCTTTGTCAATGGTACCTATTGCTCACTACGCAGGCCAGGATATAGCGCCGAGCAACTTCCAATTTTTCGGAGCCTGCATCTCCTTCTCGTTCAATTCGCGATAACCATACTTTACTGATACCTCTAGAATATTCCTCGTGATTGGACCATTGAAGGTGTTCCAATAAGCCAAGAGAATCATTGCTAGCGACAGGCGGAGATATTGAATTTCGTCTAGCTGCAATGTAGCTAGACCAATCTGTGCGAAGGCTGTGGGAGCTCGGGAAAGTGCCAGCAGCTTCTTGCTCGCCAATGACCTCACAAGTCGTCTCCAGGACATAAAAGGTATTGATAGAGGAAGATGATTGCACAGTAATTGTCCAAATTTCGTGGGAATGACCTCTTGAGCGTTCAGGACAAGCCCGCATAGACCCTTTGGCGGTTGCAATATGTTGTTTCCATGTCCCAATGAGACGTGAAAGAAAAATCGAGTTAACAAAAATCTTCCAGTCATACACGTCAGCGCTGAACTTATTCAATCAACAGTACCCACCGTACTGCCATGGTGGCTTGTTTCGGGTCGTTTGGACTCCTCCACAGATTTTCAGAGATGCCACAAATACCTTTCATTGCTTGTCCAAGAAAAGATACTTCGTATGCGCTCTTCCTTTGCTTGGCTTCGTTCATCCGATAAGAAAGATAGGGCCAGAAATTAGTGACGTTTGAAGGGTAGGCAGAAAGAACTTTCTGCAATCGTGCACCCGAAAAGGTTCGCAGCAGCCGATGATATGCGGCCAGATAGGCTGTCAAGGAGATCAAGAAAGGAAATCGGCCAACGACAAGGAGATTTCATCTACCTGAATAACGAAATAAACGCGAGACCAACATGCACGCCTCCAAGTCCTGCAATGAGATGCTGCTCAGAAGTAAAGAAAGTCGGGCACATGTTTTCGCTGCGCTACGGAAGGCGGTAAGGAAATAAGTCGCAATTGCGGTATCAAACCTTCAAGACCAAAGTCTAGGTATGTTTGTCGGCTAGGATTTTGGATATATGGAGTGGGTGTTACAACTATTTTTTTTCCAAGCTCCGGAACCGAAACCAAAGGCTTGAAGCGGTTTCGCTTCGAATGTATGCCAGCTAAACTGTAATTTTCTGAAGGTTGTAGAAAGCTAGGATTCGTCAGATTGACTTCAGACCTAGGTATGATTGTCGACGTCGAGGGGATGAAAGGACTACTCTGGGGAACCACGGATACAAGAGGATGGACACA